ATATCCTGACTTTTGGATAGACAGAGTTCTCCTCAGAAGTTCTGTTTTAAAATTGTGAGGGTCTTTTAGTATCTTTTTCCTTTTCCAACTATCCGTTTGGTTTCAATTTCCATTCCGTATTGGTAAATCAAACTGCATGCCTTTCTGGAAAAAGATCAACATGTTTCAATTGATTTTCATTAGAACTTTACTTTTCTGTGTGGGTTAACCGGGGCTGGACAGTGTCATCTTAAGTTCACTGTCTGGTCAATCTTGTTTGGGAACTTTTGAAGATGTACAAGCATGTCTGTACTTTACTGCCTATTTTCAGATGGGGTTAGGAGGCCTTTTTTTTTTTTTTGGTCCTGAATTTAGGCGTGTCTTTTGAACTCGTTGAATACAGAGCTGTGGTGCAGGCTTGTTAAATGGGGGAGGGTTGTGTGTTCTACTAAATGGCCTGCTTTGGTTTAGGAAAGGCTTGAAACAAAGCTGAACGCCAATACCAAGCAACTTAACTTGAATCCAGTTTTACTGTCTTAACTACCAAGAAATGTTTCAACCCAATTTAGATGTAGTAAACTAAAACAATGTTATTGTCATTTTGGAACAACATCATTCGAATGTGACTTTCCTAAAAAAAAATACATCATTCGATTGCGTTGATCAATTATTTACAAAAAATTACTGTTTAAGTGGCAAAATTCTCTAAGAGTTAACATAAATCAGGTCTTTATTACACCTGGCCAACATTTTAGGTGCATTTATATTAAGGGACATGGTAATGCTAATTATCCCATGCAATTGTGTGTACTACGAATTTGTCAGAAAGAATTTATCAGAAAGAATTTATCAAATCCTCAAATATGCTGTTTCAAACGAAGGCTACACCTCACCTTGCACCTTGTAAAAAATTTGTCCAGCCTGCCCTAGATCAGGGTCAGAGAATGGGAAAATTTGTGCCTACAGAAAATGGGGCAAAAACCGCCAGTTGCCATACATATAAATGACTGAAGGATTATAATAAAATTTTCCCCAAGCTTCTCAGGGAAGCAATTCTAGGCATGTGATTGTGTGTAATATAAATTATAGGAGGAAATTAAAATAGCTTGCAAGACTGGAAAATGACTTTTGGACTCTTTTTAAACTAGTCATTTTCATTATACATTCTTGTGCCTAAATTATTATCATTTACCTATTGAAACTGACAGTGTTAACTTTCTAGTGAACTCCTCAAAGCTAATTGCTGTTCAATTTTTTGCTTATCTTGATATAAAGGTGCAAGGAAGAGACGGTTTGTATGCCAAAAATATTGCAGAGGAACTGGGCTTGAATGGTTCATTTGTTCCTCGCACTTACATAGAGCAAATTCAACTGGAGAAACTTGTGAATGACGTTATGGTATGACTCTTTTGGCTGGCAATGCGTTTTTGTGACTTTTGTTTTTTCCTGATTGAATCTATCCACAGACACTGCCAGATGATCTGAAATCAAAGCTCAGCATAGACAATGATATGGTTTCAAGCCCTAAAGAAGCACTATCTCGAGCCTTGGCAGATAGAAGGATCAAGTATCTCAACCGGTATTTCTGTTCCCCAACTATGAGTTTTTGGCCTCAATCTTTTGTTTTAAAGCAGAATGAGTGATTCATCCAGTGAGTGCTAGTGAAGAATGCAAGCAAAGCTGGATTGAGATGTCATGACTGATGAAGTGTTTAATAATTTTTTGGTTTAATGTTGTTCGGAAATGCATGAATTTTATATCCGTTTCAAATTCTTGAAAATGAGTAACAGTTTCTGCTAATTTAGGTGGATCTCTGGTTTGCCATAAATCTTTGGAGTTCAATATTGTCATTTGCTGTAATATGTTCACGTTGTTGTTATATTGACCAGTGGTTTATCGCACTCATATTCAACACAACGACACAAGAACCTTTCCAAGCTGACAAAACTTGCTGTTAATAATAGAAGATTTGATGGAAGAGCTCCAGATTCACCAGCAACGATTGCAAACCAGGTGACTTAATCAGTTTATCTGCCTCAAGAAGTTGGTTTATTATAATGGTTATTGTAGTGCTCTTCATAAGACGGCGGGGTTGCCTACTTTTAACTTGAAGCATCTACATCTCAGATTGTTGTTTTCTTGACTCAGGTTTCCTTCACCAACTCTTTTTTGGATTTTGTAGAAAATATGGACCTCATAGGATTTTAGTTGGTTTGTTTTGGTCGTGCTCATGTTTTCTTTGACCACTTTTACTGTTACTTTACCTATCAAAAAGTCGCCAAGGAGCGAAACATAGGGACACAAGCAAATGTTCAGCACGAGGAAAAGAGATGTGCTTAAACAAGGGCCAGTGTCTGTCTTTCTCTTTGGCTCTGGTCGATGGATCATTGGATTTTGGGGTCCTGAGTGAAGTCCCTGACTTGGCTTGACAAAAAAAAAGGCCATCCTCCACCATGCAGATACCATTTTTCAGCATGGTCGCCAATATAAAGGAAACATGGAACCTTACTTTTTCCATATGTTGTTACCAACAGACATGAAATGATAAGACAAGGAAGCAGGAATAAGTTTTCACTAGTATGTAGGAAGTGTCATCACCGCACCACATTACCACCATTACTGCCACCACCATATTCCATCCCATAATTGCCTCTTAAAATGTGTTTCCTATAAACATCTTTTATTCCCTTCCCTTTTTAGTTTCTTTCCATCATTTGTCAACCAAATAGAGCATCTCTTTTACTTGTCATCTTGTTTTCTTGATTGTTTCAGGGAGTCATTACTCAACTGTCAGAACAAATTTCCTCATTGAATGAGAGGATGGACGAGTTTACATCTTGCATTGAAGAACTAAATTCGAAGCTCTCTACCAGATAAGTTTCTGTTAGCCCGCAAAACTTGGCTTTGCAGGCTGAAGGCTGCAATGGCTCTGCGCCCACTTCACATTTCATGGCCGGCTTCGGCAATGGATCCTTGGCCGGTTCTCTATTACCCAATTCCTCATCTTCTTCCCAATTAGCTAAGGAGTCTCAACTGATGGAAGAGGTAAGACCACTACTCTCATTTTCATCAATGGCAAGAAAAATAGTTAAAAATGTCACTAGTGTTATAATATTTATAATATATTAGCTACCACGAAACGGAAGAACTTCAAAAACATTAAACAATTTTAGAGAACTACAAAAGAGGCATGTTTTAATGCACTTTTCATTAAACAGTTTTGAGAAAACTGCCAACCAAAATAATTTTCAAATTATTTTTTGTTATCCAGTTCTCTGAAAAGTGAACCAACAGGCCCAAAGTTTCCCTCTTCACTTGGAAGAATGGCTACAAACGTAAGAATGAAATCATATTTTCCTACTTTATATAAAAGAACGGATATATGGACATAAAAGGTGTTCTGTTTTACCTCCAAGGCTCTAACCAAAACATCCTTTTGGGCTCACATTCTTATTTCCTGTTTCTTAATTTATTTATTTTTACTTGTATGGACTTGTATTCAAATACGAGTAAATGGGGATGTACTACGAATTGCAAAAGTGTTTTTATAGAAATCAGTTTACCTTTTTCTTTCACTTCTTTAAAATTCTTATAGTAACCATAACCCGCCCCCAGATCTATTCGTACCTATTTCTAGGGCTGTGAGCCTGTGAAGGAAAGTATGGAGATAAACCTAACCTTTGACATTATGTTGCATATCTTACCGTAGAACTAAAAAGAAAAGAAGAACGTTCTTTCTCACCCCAAGAGAAGTGAATAGTTAAAGGCAGTAATGTTGTCACGCATCATTGATCAGAAAAGTAATGATACTAGAGGGGGCTTCAAAGGTCAAATGCTGGGGTTGATGTGTTCTGTTTGTCTTTTGGCCTGGAAAACTATGACTAGATTTGTTAGTTGGACATTTGGGGTTTGTGTGATTGCAATTTCATTTGGGTTGAGTCTTATTTATCTCGACTCATAGATATGGCTTTTCTTTAAATTTCGTATATTCTCTCGTGTAAGAGTATACTTCTGTTGTGGTTTCCAGAAAGTGGTTTAATTTTTAAGCTTATATGTCCAATTATAAACTTAAATCTCTTTTCATTTCCTGTGCATCTTGTTTCTAATCTGTTTGGAACCATTTTTCAATCAGGTGTTGCTTGTTGCAAGGGGATAGCGTCAAATCATGCATCAGTTGGACAGTCTTAGCAATCTATTGCATGAGTGCTGGGGAGAGGTCTTGGCAAGGAAGAACAGACAGGACAAGCAGAACAGCAGATGTTGAATCTATTGGCATTCCCTTAATTGCGTAGACCATTTCACTTGCTGGAGAAAAAAGTTGGGTGCATTTCGGCTACAGCTTTTGATGTTTCTGGTCTTCTTATGCACTTGTGAGTCGTGCTTGTTACAACATGCAGAACTGCAGTGAGTTTCAAGAAACTGGGACTGTAATAGGATAAGATGGCCTATTTGATAACTTCATCTATAACACATTAGGTCTTTCTTATAAACTCAATGGAAAATTTGAGGAAAAGGAGATCTGCTAAATTTGAATGAATCCTAAACTAATTGAAGCCTCAAAAACAATGCCCAGAGATGCACTGTTTTCCTGCATTGGGTGATGAATGCCTTGTATGGCATTACCAGTGTCATTCTGTTAATCGAGAATGCTGGTAAGCTGAGCAAAATGAGGATTTGAGCACAAGGTACCCTTTTTCATTATTATTATTAACCTACCAAGAAAGCAGAATCTTTTCCACTCAGACTCTTCCTGGGTTAAAGAAAATGTATCAAAAGCGAGGCTCTCTTCAAACTGGTACACGGTAACCAAAATTTGAGTCTTCAGCATAATGGGAAAACCTTGAATTTATCAGGCAATAGTCGGATTCACATATGGCTCCTTTGGCTTTCAAATGTAAAAAGATTATAGTATAGTAAATGGAATGATGTTCAGATAAACTGCAATCCTTTTATACGGGCCATACGGCTGTAACAAAAGTCAATTCTGAGATGAGAACGAGACTATAACTTGAACCCACAAATTTGGAAGAGAATTGGATAACCAACTTGCTCTTTAGTAGGAAAGACATACATGAACCATAAGAACTGGGCATGGGTTGATATGTTATACCAAGCACATATAAATAAATAAAGCAACCTAACTGCATGTTATATAATAACCACATGGCATCTCAAACCAAAACAAAGTACATCATTTAGAAAAAAAAGCACAGATACCATAGTTTTTGTTGTCCTTCAAAACATAGAGGAAGCAAGTTCGGACACATCTGATACAACTTGGGTATAATCTGCCTTCAGTTTTTCTTGTTCCTCCTGGCCTAATTCCCCCTTGGTAGGCTTGGTTAGCACCAGAACACAGCACGTCGGCCTTTTCGTGGCTCCTGCATTTGCAAGATCCTGAAGAAAGCAGTCCATTATGTTCTCACCATCACCACTTATGAGCAATGGCACTAAAACATATATTGTACCTAAACTACCATAAGTGAGTGCCTACACCTGAATGCTTGTCACTAATGCATGCTTGACTAGAAAATGAAGCAGATTACTTTGAAGGCCACCTTTATGATTAACAGAAACCTCAATGTAAATTGAATAAATTATAATTATTTTGCTTGAATAGTCAACCAGTTAAACAATCTAACCCTCCCCAGACCCCGCAGTGGCGTGAGTCTGGTGCATTGGGCTAGCCCTATGTTTTTTTTTTTTGTTGATGTCCAGTACGGCTTTGAAACTATGCAACAGACGGAGATGAATTTGGTCAAAATCTTATCTGTAAATAATGAAAACATAAGCCCAGCTCATACTCCGTTATAAATGTGTAACAAATCCAGGATTAAGTTCAAGTCGGCAAATGAATAAGCAAGTTTACCCCTCCTGAAATTCAAAAACTAAGCCCTATGACCCATATAAATTTATTTTGATGGAAAATCTGGACATATATGTTGGCACGGGGCATGCAAACTTCTTTGTTTAATAGGAGCACAGTAGCCTTCTTCATATACAAATATTGTAACATAACTCAAGGACAGAGTTCTCTACAACGATGACATGACATGACATGACATGACATGACATGAACAATCACCATGGACAAAAGTAGTAATAATAATAATAGTAAATGGAATCATTTTAATCAAACCACTGAACTTAACCCAAAGATAATAAACATGCATGTTGATGGACTCGATGAAATGTTAAGAAAACTGAAGTGAACTTATTTCATACATTGAGCAAATAAAGCAGGATGACATTAATGAAATGATATGGTGAAACTCATCCTTAAGATGCTCTAGATAAAAAGCAAGAGGAGGAAAAAAAAAGATGAAGACAACAAGGGGAGGGGCGGAGAAATCAACTCACTTCTTTTGAGGAAACGTATATGTAGGGTATTTCAGACTCCTCACATAAGACTGGAACATGAGTGATGACATCAATAGGAGATATGTTCCCTGCTATGACACATAATCTGCATTCAGAGAAAACATGAGAAGTTAAACAACATTCATTTTCAACTTCAAAAGCAATCCTGGGGAAGAGATCTTTAGAATTGAGCACATGCCACATAAGCTAGATGATAAGCTCAAGAAAAATTAAAATCAACACCTAACAAATTAATTAACATTTAGAACAATCACTTCATTGGCAACAAGAACATCAACCCTGCATAATTTTGGAACGTTAGTAATTCGACTAATCACAATATAAAATCCATTCCAAGTAACATAAAATCTTCTAGATGACTAAAAATGGGATTTTCAAATTCAATAAACATGCCATACCAAAGATTTGTCCTTTCACATCTACTATGTATGTAAAAGTTAGGAAATCAAGTAACTGAGACATTTCTGCCAATATCATTTGAAGATAGATCTCAAATAATCTTCTAAAAATTCTAAGGGTCTGTATATCAATACTTTTAGTGACATACTTTGTTTTATATGGTTCTGCCTACTAATCATTATGACAAAACAACAATTTCCATTCAATATTAGTTTAGCCTCTTTAACTTTATATTAGAAAGCTTTTCTAACATTATTTTTCTTTAAGAGGCCAAGCTTTGACTTTGTCGCAAATTAACTTTCCTAACATTACTTTTGATAGGAGGACAAAGCTTTTACGGCACAGTGGTTAAGTGCTGGCATGCTTCTGAAGGAGGGGTAGTTAATGTGTTCGATTCTCTTTGTTGATTGAGGGGAAGAAGTCTTTTAAATAAGATATTAAGGAAAGCTAATTCATCTGAATTTGATAAATTGCAGTCATCAGATAAATTTGACACAACAACATTAGCGCATACATAATGAAATGTCCCCATCTACAATTTTAATTTATCTACAACCAAAGCCCCCAGAATTGAAAAATCCTTCAAACTAAGACGTACAAGCAGACAAGCTCATCCATAAGAAAGAAAGTATTCGGCAGGAGGGCTTGGCTTACCGACTTCTTCGCTAAGGGACCCACCCTAAAACGCCCATTCTCCGTCTCCTTATGTTTCTGGCTGGTTCGTCTACTTCGAAAAAGGGCTCACTCTGAGTTCAACTTAAATATGGAAGTCTTATTTCCTTTCTAGACGGAGAAGTAAGACTAAGCCTTATGAGACCGTGTTCCAACTCTCTTTCTTGATGCTTCAGAAAGAGGCCAAAAATAGCATTTGATCGATAGCGTAATTTCGGGAAGGATTGCAAAAATGAAAATAAAGGGGGTATTGCAATTTTCCTGTTTTCAGGCCAAGATGCAGGGTGGTGATCCTATCAAGAATCTATACTCTAGGGGAGAAGTAGTCATGGCTTTCTACAATCTTTATATGGGCTGAAGTAGTCACCTCGGGCATGCTTTCACCGATTCAGTGATGTAGTTATCACTTCACACCTGCTTCCTCCATCGCAGTCCAGATAACCGTTGTTCCATTATCTTGGTTTATGTTGGCTCATCCACATTGATGTAGTCGGTTCCCTTATATTCGTTAGTTTGGGAAAATCTATTTACCCACTCTTTTCCCAAGTCATCGGGATCTAGCACTACCTCAAACCACATCATTCTTACCATCAACCTGTAGCTCATATATACCCCAACATCAGATATTCGTACTAAAAAAGCCACTCAAATATGCAAAGATAATGCCAATCATAGTTATCTACCACCAAAAAAAAAAAAAAAAATCCAATAATAACAAAAAATACTGAAACATGTCAAATTCCTAAATCTCCAAACAGCAATCTAAAATGAGCTGCTGGGCAATCTAAAATGAGCTGCTGGGCAATCGAAATTGAGCATCTTTTGGGGTTTTATTCAAAATCTCAAATAAAATTGAAAATTTTACGATCAGAGAGAAACTAAAACAAAGTCACCAAACTTTGTAGTTTGCTATTTCATTTTCAACAAGGCTTACCTAAATAAACTCACAAGGTCGAACAGAAATCAATATCCCTCGTTTTGCGAAGACTTGTATCTAAGTTAGTCGTATTAAAGAACATACGAACTAATGGGTTTATCACAGTTTCACATAATTAAAAAAAAAAAAAAAAAAATTCAAATATTGATGCTAACGCAATGCAATGAAGCAAAAACTCAAACTGACTGACCCTTTGTTACCACGCCGAATACTTTTGACAACTTCTTTGACTCCTCTCTTCAGGCATTTGTGTTCGGCAGCTGAAAGAAGACGACCAGGTCAATATAATTACAGAAACATATATATATATATATATATATATATATATATATATATAGACAAAAATGTATAGATACCTCGGCGGACGAGTTTGAGGGTTCGCTTAGAGAGCTTTTTTCCAGCAAGGGGTTTGGCAATGGGGGCCAAAGCTAACAACTTCTTATTCTCTTTCTCCTTCTGCGCCGACTTCTCTGCTTCATTATCGCTTCCCATCTCTCTCCTCTAATACTTTCTTCCTCTAACGAGAAGCACAAAGTAGACAGGGGTTTTTGGTTGATGGTGCTAGGGTTTAGATGTGAAGTGTGTTGTATATAATATCTGCTTCCCACGTGCCTTCTACAAGTTTCTTGGTTCGGGCTTGGGTCCAAAGGCCGGCGAACTTTTAGTCGCCTGATTGGAGGGCCTAGCGTTAATTGTGGACCTAAATGAGGTTCCATGGACCATGCCACTTGGTCTCCTCCAATCATTCGTAGCCCGAAACACATACAAAAAATATACCGCGTCCGGTTCGGATTTATTTATTTATTATTATTTTTCAACAAACAAACCAACTTTCAATAAAGAAGAAGAAAAATACAATCACGAAGAAGTGCTTGCAACAGCCATGAGGGCTAGACGCACCACTCCAAGTCAACATCTGGTTGTTGTAGTCTTCTTTTCTTACTCAATAAATGAGCTACGCCATCCACGGTTCGATTTGAATATTTGCCACATTGGGTGAAAATGTTAAAAGTTGATAAAAATTAAAATTAACTAGATAGAAAAAATAGAATGAAATTATAATTAATATAATTGACCTAAATAGTTGAGGAAATTTTTGGATTTTTTTTTTTTAATCTAAAAATTGTAATTTTGCCTTTTTTGTTGTTGTATAGGGATCATGTCATTTTATTAGCATCATATTTCATCTATTTTATTTCAAAAACAACCATTTACCGGAGAAAAAATCACTATTAAAAATTATTCTACATTATTTGTAAATAACTTTTTTGAGAGTTATGATCTATTGTATTTTTATTTATTAAGAGATTCAAGAGATGAGTTGTCATAAATAAGAAAGCTCTTCTTCTACTTCTCCAAAATTTATGTACAAATTATCGGGAACGCAAGTGGTTAATTATTGTAAAAGAAAATAAAAAGATATATAAATAAATTTGAAAATTTTTAAAAAAAATTCCCCGTATTACCGTATACCGCCTACAAAGTACAAAGCCCGTATCACCATCAATCGCCACAAAAACAAAACCGGTGAAGTTCGCCGTCATGCCAACCGTCAGCGTTGGAAGAGACCGTCTCTATGAAGCCCTAGGACAAACATAGAGTAAGTACTCTACTGATCTCTACTTAATTCATCAATCAAAATCACACGTTTACGCATCATTCCCCAATCATTTTTCAGTGTAGTTTCATTCAATTTTTTTCAATCTCCCTCCGCATTTTTAGTGGGCTTCATCCTATTCCGACATACAAAATGTCTGATATTAGTACAAAATCCATGCTTAAAGTGCATGCAAAACCAGAGGTACATATAAAACAGAGTAACAACCCATTTTGGGTTTTGATTTACTGCATGTCATTCATTGATAATGACTTCTTTTTTCTTTTCTTTTCTTTTCTTTTCTTTTAAATCTTATTCTGCGGTTATTATTTATCACCATTTTTCCTCTGCAGACATCTTTGATTCGCCCTTATGTTGTTTGTGCCGTTTTAAGAGGTGTAACAGCTTTATTGAACTTCAAGATAGGCTCCATCAAAACATTTGCCTGTAACACATTGAACAATGGTTTCAATTATACAATGCAGCAACATATTCTTCAACTTCACTGATCAGAGTGGGAGTATTCTATTGTGCATTCAAGACTCACTGTTTTCAAAACAGTTCCCCAGCAGGAATGTTCCAATCTTTACTCACTGGCACTGCTTTTTGGGGTCATATTATCCTTCTTAATAATTACTTTTTATATAATGCATATTTATTATGTATTATTATTAATATTAATATTAATTTAAAATAATTTTTTTGTTACGTTCATATTAGATTTATTTTATTCTCAAATTTGCTACAAGCAAGTATTTTTTATATTTTAGGATCAAAAATTTTAAAAATTGAAAGGAAAGTGCTTGATTGTAAAGTTGTATGTCAAAACAATGTTGATGCAATATCGTTTTTAGTTACGAATTTGTCACTCTAGTTGCTATACTTTATCAACAGAAGCACGTCGTCGTTTCTTTGTGCATAACAAAATGGCTTCGTAAACCTTTTTGTTCTTCCAAAATAATATCTATAACAACCTTTTGCGAAACTCGATAATGGATGTTACAATATGGGAACAAAGCTGTGTTTGGAAAGTATGAACTTACATTTTTGACTTTTTAAAGAAAATATATATATATAAACCAAAGCAACTCCAACAAAAAAGAAGAAGAAGATATTTAATGTGATATTAGAGAGCTTGAACTGACCTAATAAAACAAAGGTAAAAACAAAAACAAAAAGATGATGTTCTATGGATCTACATGAATATGTCTTAATCTAATGAATGCTTTGAACTTGTGGTTTGTATTGATTGGGAATATTTAATACTCCTTCGGATTCGATTAAAATTTAAATGTCGTGACATGTACGAAAAGATGTGAAATATATTATTTAAAAAATAAAAAGTAAATAATTATTTATTTATTTTTTGACCGAGGGCTTTAAAAAACAAAGTAGCTTTTTGAAATGGGATTGGCCTATGCTAACACTGCTGCCCATAACATAGTTTCAGAATGGTCAACTATACATGTCTAGCTGTCTAGGCATGTAAACTTCCTCCAATAAGTGCATAGCTTTTGAAATTTGTTGCACATTGCAAGGGCTACTTAATTGATTTTCTAACCAACAATTGTGACTATCACTTGGCCTTGAGTTGCTAGTGTATCGTTAGTGTAACACATACATGAAAAAATTGTTATGTATAAGAAATATAATGTAGTTATTATATAAGCGATGTAAAGTTAGCCACACACTGAAAAGGATCCAAGTTTATATATATAAGACTACACTTACTGAGTAAGAGCACAAACACAAACTTAAATCAACATTAAAAAATCCTACGAACTTCAATTAAAAAGGAGGGGAAAAAAAATCTCTAAAATAATATATATAATAATACCCCATACTCTCTGCTCTACGTATATAATAGAACCCCAGATTTTCTGGCAACTCCATAACTCAATAGCCATGCTATGCAATGCCTATAAGTACTTGCGTGGGTAACCTTGGTTCTTCATTCAAAATATGGCAGTTATATTGAGTTTTAAAGCTGTAGCCATGCTATCTATTTTCATTCTTGTTATTTGTCTCCCCTTTTCTATGGGTCTTTTCTACCCAGCCTTCAACAAGCTCCAACTGCCATCAACAAGTATAGGTCCCGTATCCTCCGCCTTCGACCTGTTTGGTGGAGGACCTTACGTTGGTATCTCCGATGGTCGAATTGTCAAGTATCAAGGGCCGCCCACCAACACTTTTATCGATTATGCATTCGACACACCAAATAGGTATAGTTTATACATTTCGCATGGCAAAATTAATGATCAAGTCTTTATGTAGGTATGGTCCAAATATATGATCATTTCACAACAACCGTTACAATAATAATAATCTTGTAATTTGTTAGACTAATACGACTAAATCAGTGAGAGTGAAGTATCGCATCATTTTTTTCTTAAATAACAAAATACAAACTAATTCAAATGACATTGGAAATTAATTAAGGTTTAATTCTTGTGCATCTTATCGGAACTTGGATTATATAATGTGCACATGTTCTTAATTCAGGTCCAAGGCAGTGTGTGATGGGACGAGTAACCCAGATATGGGACCTCTCTGTGGGAGGCCACTTGGGTTGGGATTCAACTATCGAACTGGTGAGCTCTATATAACGGATGCTTATTATGGTCTCATGGTGGCCGGAACTAATGGAAGGCTTGCAACCCAACTTGCCACTAGTGCAGAGGGGGTGCCCTTTCGCTTCCTCACCGGTTTGGACATTGACCCAACTGGAATCGTCTACTTTGCAGATGCAAACACCGTCTACTCTTTGAGGTATATATATATATATGTAAGTATATGTATGTGTTATATCTTATGAATTGGTGACAATCTTTTATGAATTAAGATTGGATAAAGTACATGTACAAGGAGTTGATCCTTACCCACCCAAGTAATCAGTTGTAATGACTTAGAGAGGATTATGTACTCCACCAACGGTGAAGATTGGACCACTAAGTGAGTTTCACCTATGATGGTCCACTCTAATTATTTGAGGATGCAATCTTTACCGTGACGGAGTTCATAACTCTTTTTAGCACTGGATCCAAGTCCCATTAGACTTAACAATGTAAGGTAAAGGTAGAGAGTAGAAGATCCTCTATAACGGAAGCCAAGGATCTCTTACAAATTTATTCTACGATGATTTTTCGTATTATGTTTTTATATACACATGCTTATGAGTTATGAACAAGTAAGACTTTACATACATCAGTTTATCTTTACGCATGATTTCATATCTATATCCAGTATTCATATTTATATTTCATAAAATGCAGACATGTATAAGCAAAAATATTCTATAGGATTGGAGAGCATCCAAGTCCCTTGTAGAGAATCTTACTGAATTAAAATAATAATAATAATAATAATAATAATAATAATAAATCAACTTGCAGAGAAATTCAACAGGCAATTCAGAGTGGTGATGCAACAGGAAGGCTGATGAAATATGATCCGAACACAAAACAAGTTACAGTGTTGCTAAGGGGCCTCGCCTTTGCAACTGGGGTGGCAGTTGGTAGAAATGGAGGATTTGTCCTTGTTTCAGAATTTAAGGGCAATAGAATTCAAAAGTATTGGCTCAAAGGCCCCAAAGCCAATACAGCAGAAATTTTATTGAACTTACCTGGACCAGGTATCATCAAGAGGACCACATCAGGAGACTTTTGGGTGGCAGCGAATGTCCTGCAACAACAGCCTGCACAAACTGCGGTGCGAACAGGGCAAAGGATCAATGAATTTGGCAATGTTGTGCAAAATGTGACTCTTGACGCACAATATGGCAATGATTTAATCACTGAAGTTCAAGAGCGTCTTGGGACGTTATATATAGGGTCTCTGATTAAGAACTTTGTTGGTGTGTTGAGTCCTGTATAGGGCTTCAAACAAGTCCCCAGATTATAAAGTCAAGTCAGGTTTGTTTTATTATTAAACCCCTTGGTACTACTGGAAACTGCTATTAATAAATATTGGCTTGCTTATTGCCAACATTTAAAATATGAATATGAATTAATAAATTTCTCTGAGATTAATATGATTTATGTTCATAAAGTTACGTCCTGAGATTAATAAATGTTGGTTTGATTCTAGAACTATAATTTATTGGTGGTACCATCAATAGAAAATATATATATATATATATATATATTGAGAATCAATACATTTTTATACTTTTGTCAAACACATAGATTCAAATGAAATTGGACAACAACATACACATTCCATTAATTTGTAACTCCATCAAGCTTGATTTAATATAAAAGGATCATTACCTAATGTGGTTTCCATTAAATGAAGAACGACTTTACCATTCCCTAAATTTTCGTACTTTTAGAGCAACAGGGGTGGCAGTTAGCAAAGACGACACATTTCTCCTTGTGACTGAGCTAATCACGAGTAGAGTTCTTCAGATTTTGGATCAAAGGTCCAGAAGATAATTCTGCAGTAAGTATTAGTAAACCTCCGAGGGAAATCCTGATAAAATTAAGACAACCATGTTGGGAGACTTTTGGATAGCAATGAACATCCAAAAACTGCAGCCTACACTTACTTACCATGCCCGCAGGGGCAACGGCAGTGGCTCTTGATGCTGAATATGGCGCTACATCAGTTAGTGAAGTTCAAGAGTATGCTGGTGCATTACAGTCTCTGTCTGCTAACATTGTTAGTGTATACAGGAATTGAAGTCCAAAATGGCAATTAAAACTAATAAAGCTACTAATTAAACAGAACTGTTTTCTGGTCTTCCTACTATATAAATAGAGTTGGATTATTTATTTAAGATCATTGATGCTTTTGGTTCATGTTTTATTTTTTTGTATATTAACCATGTAGTCACTAGGTTAGCAACCCGACTTGCTACCAGCGCAGAAGGCTTGCCATTCAAATTCACCAGTGGTGTGGATGTTGATCTAAACAACGGGATCGTTTATTTCGCAGACGCTAGTACAACATACGAGCTAAGGTACTTATTAAATCCATTTTCCTAGACTGATCCTAAATTAATTGTGCAAAAATGAGTGTACTTAAACTAGTAAAATTTATTTGTGCAGAAATTCCACGCGGCCAAATTTCAAACCCGACTCAACCAGAAGATTTATGAAATATGACCCGTTCAGTAAACAAGTGATGGTGTTGCTAAGAGGGCTTACTGGGACAGGAGGACCAGCAGTTAGTACAGATAGCTCATTTTTGTTTGCTTGTGAGTTAAATGCCAAAAGAATTTACAAGTATTGCTTACAGGTGTGAAAGCCAATACAACAGAAGTTTTCATAAAGTTTCCTGGAAATTCAATTAAAATTAAGAGGGCAGCTACAACCGGAGAATTTTGGGTGGCAGTAAATGAAATAAATCAACAGCAGGTTACTTTGCCTCAAGGTTATAGGATCAATGCTTATGGCACAGTGGAAATTGTATCTTTCGCCGCGCAATATAACAATAAATCAATCAGTGTGGTTCAGGAGCAGAATGGGGCATTATACGTTGGGTCTCGTGTAGTTGATTTTGTTGGTGTGTTCAGGAACTAGAAATCCCTGAAGTGGTGTCTAAAGCAACTAGCAGATGCTGCTAAATAAATGTTCCTGGGAAACTACTAAATAAAATTTCACTTTTCATTTAAGATTTTCGAATCCTCAATGCTTTATATTATGTCAATCTTTAATGGCTTGAGTAATTGTAGAAATAAATAAAGTTCCGGGGCTATGAAAATGAGATCATTCCATTTTATCATACAATTGCATTATGTAATTTATGTGGCATGAATTCAGAAACATTACCTCAAAATTAGAAGCCTTCAAATCTTAGGCACAAGTTGAATGCAATGACAATCCTGAAGTGGCTAATTTCTTCAATGTTGCAATTTTATTCAATTTCAAAGGTGTAGTCCATTCAGGTCCTTATGAAAGCTAAATTACAGCTAAATCCAATCTTGTACCTCTAAAGTTGTGTATGTTTGCCATGCAAGTTTATTGGAGTCCTATTTTCATGCTCCCTAAAAAAGTCATCAAAGATATCAATAAGGTTCTGATGAGATCATTGTGGAGTGATAATCTAGATGGTACTTAGCATGCTAAATAGCTTGGATTAATAATCTGTACCATCCTTAAATTAATTTTTGTGCAGCATATCAGAAGTTTGCATTCATTGATGCCTCCCCTGACTTTCCCCCTTTTGGAGGTAATAATAATAATAGTGGATTCTCAATAAGCCCATAAGATGCAGTCTAATCTCCAATTTTCAAATTATTCCACGTACATTTCTAAAACACAGCTTTTGTTTTCTCATTTATCTGATTCTCTTTTTTACTTGCTGAAAATTGACGGTAATGGCTATTAATTAATTGTGATTCCCAACATGCTTAGAAATAATTAAATAGTTATATCGATTGAGTCACTTTGATTTAATTTTGATTTAGGTTGTGTTTTGGTTATTTGATCCATTAAACAAAAGAGTTTGGTTTGGGTCAAGAAAAAGGGTTCAGTTGACCTGAATCCAACTTGTTGGCAAGGTAGCCAATTTTTTTTTTTTTTTTGGTACTCACACAGTACACCTATGCCTCTACTGAGGCTCGAACCCCTGATCTCCCTTTGGGAAGTAAAGGGTCTGATACCATTGGGTCACTTGCCCGTTGGTCCAAAAGTTCACTCTTAGTAAGTTGTGCGGCTGGTGTACCTACCGTCACGAAGACAAGGTTTAAATTCAAGACTGAAGCCCTATCTAACACCAATTGGTAGTGGACTGATCGTCGCGAAGACAAGGTTTAAATTCAAGACTAAAGCCCTATCTAACACCAATTGGCAATTGGTTTCAGGAGAAATGGTGAAAGTTGGGGCTAACACAACTCATGTTAGTAGATCAAAGTGAAGTTCTTTCAACTCCCCATGCCATATTCTCTACATAATATCTGTTGGATCTGGCCGTGCCATCTCATCTGAAAATCAATTGGTGTCTAGTGAGGGAAGGACACGCCTTTTATGACATTTGACACTATAAGGCCCATTCGTGAGCGACATTGTGTATTACACCAATTGACAATATCATTTTTGCATAAATTGAATAGTTAGCATTTCTGATTTAGAAATATCAATTTTTATACTTCTGTCAAACACATAAATTTCAAATGAAATGGGACAATGAACAAACGCACTCCATTAATTCATAACTCTATCAAGCTTAATGTGATTCCCTTAAATGAAGCTTGATTTCATATCTCCTATTCAAATTTCTTAATTACTACTTATTTTCATCTCTCTTTCATACAAATAGAGAATATATATATATTAAGCATATGGTCAGGATGGCTGAGTGGTCTAAGGCGCCAGACTCAAGTTCTAGTTCTCATGAGAGAGTGTGGGTTCAAATCCCACTACTGAAAACTTTATTAATAAGCCTAAGGTTTAACACCTTTTGGAAACTAGCTACTACATGCATCTTTTTCTTTTTCTTTTTTCCCCAAGAGAACCACAATGTAGCTATGGTGGGGGTGAAACAAACTCCAATCATTTGGCAGTATCTATAGTATTTTAAAGAGTTCTAAAGAATGAACTAGTCAAGGAAAGATTTGTCATTGAAAAGTAAACGTGTCTGTCATAGTTCCACATAAGTTGCTTATTAAAAAACTAGGAAGAATATGTTTCCGAAGAGGATATGTGTCCATTCTAGTGATTTATAAATCAAATTTAATTAATTCCTGAAAAAAGGGATTCATTGACTTAATATATATACAGTTGGTTTACTTTAATGGACATGAAAAGGAACTGGACAAAGGAAGTATGGACATGAGAAAGATGCAGCAGAATGGGAGAGGAGAGAAAATCTTTGACAAGACTTAAAAACTCCATTTTATATGGTGAATGGATCAATAATCCATCTTCATCCTAAAATAGCATGCTATATAGTCAAAAAGCTTGATGTCATGGCTGTTACTACCCATTCTCTGTGTGCGTGCGCGTGCATGTGGACGAGGACCTTGAGAATTAGTTTTTATGCTTATAAATACAATTACCAATTGCATTGGCTTCTCCATTCTAGCTATGGCAGTTAACTTTAGACTCACAACAATGGCTGCCATGGTCTCTATTTTCATCTTTTTCTTCTCTCTTCCTTATACGACTACTTTTACCCAACTATACAACCGACTTGATGTGGCAATTAATGATTGCCATACACATCTAGGAAAGTGTTTTTATTGTTTTGGAAAGCTGACGAGTCTTGTTGGACTCTTTCTATTGCCATAACTACAAAAACCTATTCGCTTTTGTAGCAGTACTCTTAACTGAACCACGAGTTTTTACACTCCGATACTACTGTTGGAAGCCCAGTCATTAATTGGAAGAACAAGACAATTTTAGAATGAGGTGGGACAATACCTTGAATTTTGGTTGCACTGCACATATCATGCATGGAATAGAATTACGCTTATCAAGGTTTCTATATTTTAATTACAGGAGTACATGAATTAGTTGTTTCTAGCTAGAATTTGTTTATAATAGTTAAATTAATTTTAAATTTTAAATACTTCCACTTATCAGCTGATTGACCTAATTAAAGAAGATAGAAGACCAATTTTACTCATTATAATCTATCGCATAGACAATTATATTAATTTTACCATTTGAACCCAAATCAAACTAAATACTTCTTTATTCCCCAGAATTAGGACCCTGATTAGCCTTCGTGTAGCCAGATTCTTCGAATTTTCTCAGGGAACAAACAGCACACAAAATTTTCAACAAAACTACAAGAGAATGTAGTTGAAACAAATAATTCAGCACTATACAAGACGGTCTTCTCTAGTTTCGGACAAAACCATCAAGTAAAACCCTAATTCGAAATCACAACAACAGAATTTTCCAGCTATCAAAGTTCGTATATATGCTTATATATATATATATAATAATCAGAAAAGAGAGGAAACGATGACTTACAGAATCTAATCGACACAACCCGATCCTTCCGAATCTAAAGATCGGACTGGTACTGAATGGTGTCACGGAGTCGTTAACTTGCATGATATTGCATTTCTAAAGTTTTTCTCTCACCGTAAGAAATTATATATTAAAATCATTTGAAATTTAATGCCTGATTGGCCAGTGCTGCCACAAATATCTTCAGCCATTTGTGCAATGCATTATGCAGTTATATTTTTTCTAGGGGTTAATTGGATTGGATTAAGCCATTTTAAGGATTGGAAAATTTTCAAATACGTAGTAGCTCAACATTATTATTTTTAATCATGACCTAATTGATAAATTTTTAATAGTAGGTGTTTAAGGTTAAGAGCATCCGCAGCCCCTTAGCCAAAGGGCTTTTTTTTTTTGCGATTTGGGCTTCCAAATGCACCGCAGAGGGCTCGCGGAAATTGGGCGGGCCCACATTGCCTCGCGGATTGGCTCGTGAAATACCGTGAGCCCAAGCCCAATTGTTTAATTTTTTTATTTTATTTATTTTTGTTTGACAAAACAACGTGGTTTTGGAGGAGTCTTGTTTTTGCCTTTGATATTTGGCAGCAACGGGCCATAAGGCCTTAAGGTGTATTTGGTAGGGTTGATTTGGAGAGATAAGGAGAGAAAAAAAAATAAAGGATAAAGTGAGAGTGTGTTTGAATGGTTTTAGTAGAGAGAAAAAAGAGGATAGAGAGAGATAGGGAAGGATAGCTATCTCTCCCGATCCCTCATTTGCTTTCTTTCCTAATTTGAGAAGATAGGGAGAGAAATGATAGTGGAATAAGTGATTAATTCGTAATACCAAAAGTAGTCTCTACAAATCATTATACAAAAAATGTGTGAAGTGGTTATGAAAGGGTAAGACAATAATTTGACCATTATCCTTTCTTTTCTTTTCTCTCTTCTATCTTATCCAGACAAAAATAACTATCCTTTATTTCCCTATCTATCCAAACACGAATAGAAATTATTACTATCCTTTATTTTCTTTTATTTTATCTCCTAACTAATACTATCATTTCATTTCTTTTCTCCTCTATCTATCCAAACACAGCGTAACAGGTATTTTTGGAAAAAATTAAAAAATGGGTGATCTTAAGCTTTTTTAAAAATAAAATAAAATAAAATTCATTAAATAAAAAATATATTTTTTAAGCACTGTTTGTTCAAAAAAAAAAAAATTGATTTGGGCCAAAAATAAATTTAAAAACCCTTTTTAATTTTTTTTTTTTTTTTGCTTTAAATTTCTGCCACAAACAGTGCATTTGGCCATTAAGGCACTGTTTGCCTAACACAAATAGTGCCTTAACGGCTATAATTTTTTTTTTTTTTTTTAAAAAAAAAAAAGTTTAAAAAATCATTTTTTTTTTAACTTTTTTCAAAAAACAAATTAAAAAATTAAAAATTAAAAAATCATTTCTCTTTTATAAATACCCGAACTCCTTCCATCATTCTTCACATCTAACCCATCTCTATTATTTAACTACCATTCAAGTTATTTCTTCTTCTACTTTCTCAATGTTAACTATTATTTTCAAACTCATTTCGATTCCATGAATCTTCAACATCCATATTATTACAAC